TCCGTTGATTTGTCAAAATCCCAGGAAACAACATTTCAGTTACCTCAAAGATCCAACAGTGAAGATCAAAACCTCCGGGTTACTTAGGAGATTACTTAAGGAGATCAAAAAGTTATTAAGTAGCATTGGAAGAAGATGCACACTTTAGGTAGCACAGGTCAGAGAAACTTCTCTCTCCCCTTGTGCACCCTCTGGATGCACCATCTGGATGTACCCACATGTGTACCTTGTTAAGGAGAAAGCAGTTTAACTTTGTGGTTAAGGAGCTTTGAAGTCAGTTTGGGTTTAAAGCCTACCTAGGCTAGAATCCTTAGCTAAGCAGCCATAGACCACAGGAAAAATAGCATCTACCAATACGACTGCTGTGAGAATTAAACAAAATATATGTATGGTGTTAAGCAGAGTGCCTGACACACAGTTAAGTTCTCAATAACTGGTCGCAAAGCACCAGTCTGTGTGATAGAGCCAGCTGTCAAGCCCTGTAACAGTTCATGACTCATAGGACACTAAAATACTGCCCTGTGTGGAATTTATCTGTTAAGAATTTTGTCTCATTATAATAATCAGAACAACATTTACTGAATGCTTATTATATGCCAGGCAGTGTTCTAAGTGCTTGAATTAAATGTATTAACTCATATAATTTCATAACAGCCACAAGGGGGAGATGATTATTTTCCCATTTTACTGACAAGGAAACTGAGGCCCAAGGTCACACCGTAAGTGCTGGAGCCGACGTCAGCATTAGGGAAAGCTGGGTGAAGGGGACACAGGAACTTTCCGTGTCTCTTCGCAACTCTTAGTGTAGATTTAACATTGTGTGAAAATTAAACGCCCCCCCCCCCCAAAAATAGAGTGCCTGCTTCCAATGGCGTTCCATTGGAACGCCAATGCTGGAGGAAAGGTACACAAGCAAATACACCGAAGTGAGTGGTGAGAATTAGGCCACAAGGAACGCCCGGGGCTGAGGGGAGGCGGCGGGGGCTCCCAAGCCGGGGGGTCGCGGGCAGAACCGCTGCGCCCCCCGTGTGTCACGCAGGCCCCCGGCCCGTCCTGGATGACCAGGGCCTCTGGCCCCCGAATCCCCAGTGACCTCGGCTGCACCGACGTCGCTGGGCCCTCCTGTCACCCACCTGGAACTCCAGGCCGTAGATCACCGGCGCGTCGTCCTCCATGCTGCGGCGGCTCAGTCGCCTAAGGCCGGTCCCCGGAGCGGGTGCGCCCCACCTCAGCGTCCATTCATTCCCTCCAGCCCCGGCGGCGCCAAACAGGAACGCTTTCTGGCCCACCCCGGCTCCCGTAGGGCTCACTTCCGGTGTCTTCCTGATGAGTCATCAATGCGTTCCTCGCCGGCGGCCAATGGTGGCAGCGCCGGGCTTGTGCGCATGCCCACTTGGCTCCCATCCGGGCTCTCAGCTCCCAGGATCCGGAGATTGGGACCGCGAAGGGAGGACCGGCCTGGGGACTCCCGCAGGGAGGCGGGGGCGGAGCGAAGCCGGCCCGGCCCGGCTCGCAGTTACGGCCGCCCGGCGGCCTGCAGCTCGGGACCCTCCCTGCTCCATCGCCCCAGAGGGAATGGCTTCCCTGAGGCTGTGACGCTGTCGTTGGACGGCTGGGTGCCGGGACGCATGCTTTGTAGGCACTGTCGTTAAGTTCTTCGCTCCAGCCTTACGGCTAAGGCATCATTCTTACATTTTACAGATGGGCCACTGCAAATTTCAGTGACAGTTGAGGGCACAGAGAGGTTAAGTTGGGGGGCTAGGGTATGTGTCTGGTCTGTCAGACTTAGGTAGGCCGGGACCAGGATCCTTAAAGTCAGGGACCGGGCTAGTTCATATCTGCAGGCGCCAGGCGGTGTGTGTGGGGTGGCCAAGGGATCGCACTGCCAGGGCTGGGGTGATGCCTGGCATCGAACCACTGGCATTGTTTGGCAGCATTTGCCTCTGTAGGGAGCCTGGTGGGAAGATCCTGGGGTCATTGGATCTCCAAGGACTGTCATGCTGGAGAGGTTGCCCCGCTCAGGCAGTACTCCCAAAGTGCCTGCCTTGACATTAGGCAATGTCTTTGGCAGACAGGAATGACATTGCATGGAGTCCCAAAATCCCCATAGCTGAACCTCCTTCACTAACCTGGGTCCCATAGGTTTCCAGGACCATGCACCTCTCCTCCATCTGTGTGACCATTTAACTTTTCTCTCTTCCCTTAATCTTTGTTTCAAATAACGAGGTCTGGAATAGTATATGAAAAGATGTTTGATATCGCTAATCATCAGGGAAATGCAAATGAACCACAACGAGCTATCACCTCACACCTGTTAGAATGGTTGTCACCAAAAAGTTAAAAGTTAAGTGTTGGCAGGATTGGAGAAAAGGGAACCTTTGTACGCTGCTGGTGAGAATGTAAAAGGATACATCGACTATGGTAAACAGTATGGAGATTCCTCAAAAAATTAAAAATAGAGCTACCATATGATCTCATAATCCCACTTTTGAGATCCGAAGAAAATGAAATCCCTATCTTGAATAGATATCTGCACTCCATGTTCACTGCAGGATTATATTCAGTAGCTGAGACATGGAAACAACCTAAATGTGTGTGAGTGTGTGTGTGTGTATGCACACACTCAGCAAGGGCTCACTGCCTTATGCCCATAGAAGACAATACTATGGTACCAGCTTTTGAGAAAAGAATGATCTTTATTGTGAGGTTGACCAGTAAGGAAATGGGAGACAGGTCTCAAATCAGTCTCCCCAGTCCAAAGTTCGGGGTGAAATTTAAGGGGTTAGGGAAATTTCAAACTTGAAAGCTGATTGGTTAGCCTCAAATCAGTCCATATAAACTACCGGTGCTGCTGGAAGCCAGATTTTCCTTATTGAAAGATTTCTTGCCTCATAAAGGGCTCCAGTGACATTTCTATTTGAGTTCTGTAGTCTGAAGATTCTTTGGGGGTCATCCTGGAGACACGTGCAGTGCTGTCTGTAAAATAACTCAAGGTTTGATTAAGCAATTTAAGGAGAATAAGCAGTTTAAGCTGGTCAATGTTTTTTAACATGCTTTTTCATATATATAATGAAATATTATTCAACCTTAAAATGAAGGAGGTCCTGTCGTTTGTGACAACATGAATGAACCTAGAGGACATTGTGCTAAATGAAATAAGCCAGATACAGAAAGACAAACACAGTATGATTCCACATACATGTGGAATCTAAAAGAGAAAGTTGAAATCATTGTAACAGAGAGTAGAATGGCGATTACCAGAGGCTGAGGGGTGGGAGAAAGGGGAGATATTGATCAAAAAGTACAAACTTTCAATTATAAGATGAATAAGTTCTGGAGAGATAGTTAATAATAATGTATCCTATACTTGATAGCTAGTGGGAACATGCCATAAGGCACAGGAAGCTCAGCCCGGTGCTCTGTGATGACCTAGATGGGTGGGATGGTGGGAGGTCCAAGAGGGAGGGGATATATGTATACATACAGCTGACTCACTTCGTTGTACAGCAGAAACTAACAACATTGTAAAGCAATTATACTCCAATTTAAAAAAATATACTATAATTGAAATTTGTGGAGAGTAGATTTCAAGTGTTTTCACCACAAACACACAAAATGGGAAATAAGTGAGGTGATGAATAAGTTCATTAGTTCCACTGTGGTCATCATCTCACAATGTATAGATATATCAAAACATCACGTTGTACACGTTAAATATTTACGATTTTTATGTCAAAAATAAAATATTTTTTTACATCTTTATTGGAGTATAATTGCTTTACAATGGTGTGTTAGTTTCTGCTTTATGACAAAGGGAATCAGTTATACATATACGTATGTTCCCATATCTCTTCCCTCTTGCATCTCCCTCCCTCCCACCCTCCCTATCCCCCCCACTCTAGGTGGTCACAAAGCACCGAGCTGATCTCCTGTGCTATGCGGCTGCTTCCCACTAGCTATTTTATGTTTGGTAGTGTATATATGTCCATGCCACTCTCTCACTTTGTCACAGCTTACCCTTCCCCCTCGCCATATCCTCAAGTCCATTCTCTAGTAGGTCTGTGTCTTTATTCCTGTCTTATCCCTAGGTTCATGACATTTTTTTTTGTTAGATTCCATATATATGTTTTAGCATACAGTATTTGTCTTTCTCTTTCTGAGTTCACTCTGTATGACAGACTCTAGGTCCATCCACCTCACTACAAATAACTCAATTTCGTTTCTTTTTATGTGCCACATCTTCTTTATCCATTCATCCGATGATGGACACTTAGGTTAGATATCAAAACATCATGTTGTACCCCTTAAATATATACGATTTTTATTTGTCAAAAATAAAATATTTTAAATCATTAAAAAATAAGAATAAAGAATTGGCTGGGTCTGGTTTGCCTTAGTTGTGCTCCAGCGCCTAGCGCTGTGCCTGGTACTTAAGCTGGATAGGAATCCTTGGATGAACGAAGAGATCTGGGTGGTTACACCAGAAATCAAGGAAGCAGAGGCACAGACGTGGGCATCCTATTCACCGGCACCGTTTGCCTAAGATTAAGTTGCGGCGCTAAGGAATGCAGGATCTTCATACTGCTGTATTAAATCCACCCAGCTATTATTCGTATTCTTATTACCATTTTTATCGTTAATGTGGTTACACAGTAGTACAGATGCATGGCAGGAAAAGTTGAAAATACATATAGGCACAAAGACAAATCCCTGAAAATAAATGTTTCTAGGGTGATTTGGCTAGGAAAATAAAGAGCTTAACCATCTCCCTTCCAGCTGCCCCTCTGCCACAGTTTTGCTTGTCGCCTCTGAGGGTCACAACGATTTCCCTTCCCAGTCCCAGGGAAGGGCTGAACTCCCCCCGCGCATTCCCCGCCCCCGATTCCCACCTTGGGGCCCACACCCCGCCCACCAATGCATGAACCGGAAACGCTCCGGGCGCTTGTCTCCTGCACTGGGCATGCGCGGGAGCAGGCGCGCGCAGGCGCAGAAGCCGCAGGAGGCGCCGATTCCAGTCCCTCCTTCCCGGCTTCCTCTACACTTCTCCTTGCACCCTGGGTTACGGCTGTAGGTGACCCTTTCTCCAACCCCAGAGGGCCGGTGGCAGGTGAGGACAGGGCCCGGGCTGTAGGGAGGGGGTCGTGCTGTCCCTAACCGCAGCCCCGCCGGCCCTCAGACACAGTCCCCCGGGGGTCTTCTCTCCGCGTCTCCTCCCCGGAGTGTCCTCCCCGAGGTTCTTCGCCCCTGGTCTCTCCTCTCCGGGCGTGTCTTCTCCCCAGGGTTCTCTTCCCGGGAGTTCTTTTCCCCGGGCTTTCCTCCCCAGGGGTCTCCACCCCGGGGGTCTCCACCCCGGGGGTCTCTCCTCTCCGAGGGTGTTTCCTCCTCGGGGTCTCGTCTCTGTCCCTCCTCCCGCCAAGCCCAGGCTGGTCCTGCGGGGTCCGCAGCGCGGGCCTTCCCTTCCGGGGGCGGCCGTTGGCTGCACACCCCCGGAGCAGCCCCCAACGCTTGGCACCGAAAGCTGGGGAGGGGTCTGCGGCCCAGGTCCCAGCCGTGGACCTCAGTGACTTCTTAGTCCTGGTTTACTCTCCGGCAGGTGGACGTTCACAGTGACTCGCCCGACCAGACTCAGTATTTTGCGGGCAAAATGCGGTGGTTTGTGTAAAAGCATGTAAGTCTTGTAAATGTTGGCTGATTCCTTCCAGGACAGCATCCAGGACAGAGCTGACTGATAAGAGTGCATATACTGGGAAGATTTGAAAACACTTTTATTGTAAAAGAGCATAAGGCTCAAAGATGTGCTTTAAAATATGCCTGTTTCCCTCACCCTCATCCACAAAAGAGTTTGACCCCAATGAAACATTTCCTTGGACCTGCCATATCTCTTTATAGCTACTGGAAAACACTGTATTTAAATACTTCTTGTTTCTTTTCGTCAATTCAGAAGGTTGTACTGGGTGGCATACAGCGAGTTAGGGCCCCTGTGTGATGGGCTGGGAGAAGGGATTGAGGACTTCAAATAGGATAAAATTCACCAGTCCGCACATCCTGTGATTTCAGACAGGATCTTCACCGTTCCAAGACTGTGTTACCACTCTGCTTCGTCATTAAACTTATAATTACTGTGTTTATGTGCAGCTCATCACAGTTTAAAAAGTTCCTGTGCATCCGTTGCTATTTAATCTTCATTATCCCAGTTTACAGATGAGAAAGCCGAGGCTAAAGGATTAAATCATTTTCAAAGGTCACCTTATTTATCAGTGAAGCTAAGACTCAAGCAGTTACTCAGAGCGCTTTGTGCCTCCGCCTGTGGCTCTCAGTCACGACCTGTCTAGGAGCCTTACAAGGAGAGCAGAGGCAGAAAAACTGTTGGAATCCTGTCAGCATCAAGTATTGGTACTGTGGCTTTGGGCAAATCACTTGACTTTCTCTGCTGTATGATGGAGCTAATACTTTGTGAATTGATCCTAAGGATTAAATATGATAACTCATGTAAAATGCTTGATCTGTGGTGGGTGTTCTTTACGTGGGGCTTTTATAAATATGTGCTAATTAGATTCCTACCTCATGGCATAGTTCTTTCATGGAAATACAGTTTACATTATTGCAATCTGGTAAAAGATTTGTAATTGCAGAGTCTTATGTCCAGAAAGGGAGCCTGAACAGCAGTAATTTTCATTATTCTTAGTGAATTTAAATCACTTAAAGTTAGTACTTTAAAAATATTTTAAGGCATTAATTAAGTTCATTGTGCAAAGAACTCAACTGGACAAAGAGAAAATCCGATTTCTTTGCTAGCATTTTGGTGTTGACACAGGCTTAAAACCATGTCTATGATTTCATAAAATTCATTAAATCAATAGTAAGAGAAGCAAAGATTTATATCACATGCAAATCAAGAACAGATTCATATGCTTTTCCATTTTTAGATTATGAAATGTAAAGACTGCATGTAACATATATGGAAAACACAAAGTTCAAGTGCAGACCCGACGCCGTCTTCTGTCACTGCTGCTGCCAGCGGCTTAGACTCTCATGTGTCCCTCCCCCATCACACCTCCCCTTGCTGTCACTTCCAAGCTCCTCCCCAACTGAATTGGGTGTTATTATCACCTTGTTTTTGTGTTTGTATTCCTAAAATAGTATATTGTTTCATTTTCATGTTTTGAACTTTATATGGAAAATCATACTGTTTATTTTTCTACCGGTTCTGCGTGCAGAATTAGATGTGTGAGATTCAAACATTGTTGCATTCACTATAGGATGGCTCATTCGTTTTCACTACTGTTTAGTATTCCATTTTTGAATATACTGCTGTTTATTTATTATGGTACCTATGGGCAGTGGTTGTTTCCAGATTTTTTATTTTGGGGGCTTTGAAAAGGGGGCGGCATTTTGTTTCTATTTTCTGTTTGTGACGTTCATGGTCATAGCTTTTGGTGCCCATGTGCAGGAGTTCCTCCATGATACATAAGTAGTGGGACCATTTTTGTCTCAACCAGGACTCTTGAGAGTGAAAAGAGGTGCTTAATTTTACTGCAACCATGGGTGTAAAGTGGAATCATTCTAGAAAAATCAAGTTGTATGGCTGTTGAAGTCACAGGACACATGCTTGTGAAATGTGTATCCCTTTCACCTTGTTCAAATCTTTGTGCAAAATATTTTTCTGTTGGATCGTCTGTAATCCTATTGATTTGTAGGAATTTTTAATGTCATCTTGATATTATGAAGTCTGACAATATCAAGTGTAGGTGAATGTGTTGAACAAGAAGACTATTTACACACTGCTACTAAGTGTGTAAATTGGTACAACCACTTAGTAAAGCAATTTGGCGTTATCTGATAAAGAGGTGTATTCTCCATGAATGACCCACCGCACACGCTTAACTTTTAATAATGTCATGAAGGAGTTTTCACACGTACAGCAGGAGACATGTACAAGAATATTCATAACAGCACTGTCTGTAGATTCACAAACCTAACACCTCAAATATCCATCAACAGAAGAATAGATATTAGGCTGTGGAACCGTCACGCAGTAGAGCATCGTCAGCAAAGATGAGTGAATCACAGCTTCACCGCCACTTACAGGGTTGGGTCTTAGGTTAAAAGTGGGGAGGGGAAACTAAGGAAAAAACTGAGAAATCTAACATGTCTGAGGAAACAAACGTGGAAAATTAAGGAAAAACAAGGATGTGACAAATCTCAGAATATTAGCCCAGAAAAGGAGGGGAAGTAGGTGTTATAAACATTGTATCCACTCCAGTTTAGTAAAAGTTGTTTATAGAAAAGGGGCCTTCAGAAGAGTCAGGGAAAGGAGCAAGAACCTCCTAAGGTATTCCAGTGAAAGGAGTCAGAAAGCCGAGATGGAGCTCGCACCGCTGTCCCGTTCCATAGACAGCCCTCTTTCCTGGGGCCAGAGCGGCATGTGTGTCACAGTTACTTAGTTTCCTCTCTGTTATCTCCTTGAGAGCCAGTAATGTAGCCTTAATGTAGCTGGTGTCTGAGACACAGTGGCGCTCGGCGAGCAATGATCCCTGACTTGCAGGGCGTCTCAGCCCAGTCCTTTGGTGATGTTTCTGATAAATGTGTAGTTTCCATTCAGAAATTAAGGTAAACAATTTAATTTTTACTCTGGGCTGGGTAACATCTGTGTAAACAGTGTCACTAGGAAACAGGTGACATTGATTTTCTAAATTAGATTGGATTAGAAACAAGGTTACTGGAGAGAATCAAAACATATTTACAGACTTAAGCATTGACTTGAAAGAGCGTTCCTCTTAGCTTTCTTCCTTTCAGAAGATGATTTCTTTAAAAACAAGAATTTTAGGTGAGTTGCTAAACGCAGAATTGCTTGTCAGAGTTTTATTCCTTGCCAAGCTGTTCTTCAGAAAGGTTGCATTCCCCTTGCCAATAAGTAAGTTTCCCTAAAATTCCCCAGAACTGTCACTTCTAAAAATCTTTGCCTATTTCACAGGTCACATTTTTTAAAATCATAGTTTCAATCTGGGTTTCTTTAATTATTGCTTAAGCAGTTGTTTCTTGCTGTAATGATCCAGTCCGCATAATGAATGGGTCTCGATAGTGATGAGTCTTCTTTTATTGCGTTGCCTGGTGAGAAGCCGCTCAAGGTCATCTGTGCACAGTCTTTCCTAGGTCCCCCCATTTTAGTCTGTCTTTCTCTGTATCTTGTAATACACACCAGTTAACCTGGCAGTGACTTCTGCTTACTTTAAGAGTCGACTTTTCTCCACTTTTCCCTGCATATAAAGAAAGTATCTGTGTGATTTTGCCAGTTTTGATATTCTTCACCTTCTCCTGTAATTGTATGTATTGGACCTTATGTCATACAGTTTTTCACAGGTGTCCGTTAACGTAGTAACGGGGCATCTGGCATTAGCATCTGCACTGTTTTTATTCCGAGAAGGGCCCGGTTAACCAGCAGTAGTTCCTGGCATCTCCCGGGCACTGTGTGGGCGCGGGGTACTTGAGTCCTCAGGGGCTTAGTCAGGGGCCCTGCTTCCATTCCTGGTCAGATGAGTCCCATCACTTCTCTGGTTCTTAGTGTCCTCATCTGTATTTTAGGGCAGCCGATGCCTGTCTCGTCTGGCTGTTGCAAAGGTTAAACAAAGTCATTGCCGTTCCGTGGTCTTCCTGCTTAGTCTTCGTGTCCTGCCTGGGGAGGACCAGGGAAGAGCCTTACACATTGGGGTTCGTCCACTCTGATGTTCCTGAGGCAGCCTCCCGTTGGAGCTGTGAAACATTACAAGTAAAGGGGCTTTCGTTCCTTTTCATTGTATTTTTGACTTATTTATAGCTAATAATTATTAAGTGAATATGTAGTAAATGGGGAATTAGTAACTGACTATGCTGGTCAAGAAACTTCTCCAAAATGTTTAACTTTGAACCTACTTTAAAGTAATCTTGCTTTTGGATCTCAGGGTGGTCCAGGCTATAAAAGGGAAAGAGAGCTAATTTGGAATACTGTGATGAAAGTGTTGACAGAGAAAAAAGTAATCTTATCTAGAGACCAGCTGAGTATAGTTAACTTTTTTGTTTTTTTCTCTTTTGATACAATTTTTAAAGGTTACAGTCCATTTACAGTTCTTACAAAATATTGGCTATACTCCTCGTGTTGTGCAATACATCCTTGTAGCCTGTCTCATAGCCAGTGGTTTGTACCTCTCACTCCCCCACCTCTGTATTGCCTCTCCCACTCCCTGCTGGTAGCCACTAGTTTGTTCTCTGTACCTATGAGTCTGCTTCTTTTTTTGTTATATTCACTTGTTTGTTGTATTTTTTAGATTCAACAAATAAGTGACATCATACAGTATTTGCCATTCTCTGAGTTATTTCACTTGGCATAATGCCCTCCAAGTCCATCCATGTTGTTTCAAATAGAAAATTTTTGTTCTTTTTTATGGCTGAGTAGTATTCCATTGTGTGTACATGTGTGTGTGTGTGTGTGTGTATACACACATACATACATACCACATCTTCTTTATCCATTGATCTGTTGAAGGACATTTAGGCTGCTTCCATATCTTAGCAATTGTAAATAATGCTGCTATGAACATTGGGGTACATGTATCTTTTTGAATTAGTGTTTTTTCTTTTTTTGAATATATACCCAGGAGTGGAATTGCTGGCTCATATGGCAGTTCTATTTTTAATTTTTTGTGAAACCTCCATACTGTTCCCCACAGTGGCTGCACCAACTTACATTCCCACCAGCAGTGCAGGAGGGCTCCCTTTTCTCCACACCCTCGCCAACATTTTTTGTGTTCTTTTTGATGATAGCCGTTCTGACAGGTGTAAGGTAGTATCTCACACATTGATGATTAGCGATGTTGAGCATCTTTTCATGTGCCTGTTGGCCATCTGCATTTCCTCTTTGGAAAAATGTCTGTTTGGTTCTTCTGCCCATTTTTCAGTTGGGTTGTTTGATTTTTTGATGTTGAGTTGTATGAACTGTTTATATATGTTGGATATTAATCCCTTATCAGTCATATCATTTGCAAATATTTTCTCCCATTCAGTTGGTTGTCTTTTCCTTTTGTCAAGGTTTCCTTTGCTGTGCAAAAACTTTTAAGTTTAGTTATTTTTTATTTTTGCTTTTTTTTCCTTTGCCTTACAAGACAGATCCAAAAACCTATTGCTGCGATTTGTGTCAAATAGTGTTCTGCCTGTGTTTTTCTCTAGGAGTTTTATAGTATCCAGTCTTACATTTAGGTCTTCAATCTACTTTGAGTTTATTTTTGTATATGTTGTTACTATAGGCTGAAGTAGTCTTGTCTTGGGAAGGCTTGAGGGCAGAGGTGGAACTTCAGCTGCGTCTTAAAGAATGAGTAGGGTTTAAAAGGCTGAGACCTCACACCCATTAGGATGACTACTGTCAAAAAGACAGAAAATTAGCTAGTGCTAGTGAGGATGTGGAGAAATGGGAACCGTTGTGCACTCTTGGTGGGGATGTAAAATGGTGTAACTAATGGAAGATAGTTTGGGTAGTTCTTCACAAGATTAAAAATAGAACTGCCACATGAATGATCCAGGAATCCCACTTCTGGGTTTTTACCCGAAAGAGTGGAAAGCAGGGTCTCGAAGAGATATTTGTACACCCATGTTCACAGCAGCAGTATTCATAGTAGTCAAAAGATGGAAGTAATCTAAGTGTTCATCAATAGATAAATGGATAAACATAGTATGTACATACAATGGGATATTAACTCGGCCTTAAAAATAAGGAAATTCTGGGACTTCCCTGGTGGTCTAGTGGTAAAGAATCCACCTTACAATGCAGGGTTCGTAGGTTTCGTCCCTGGTCAGGGAACTGAGATCCCACATGCTGTGGGGCAACTAAGCCTGCACACCGCAACTACTGAGCTCACGCACCTCAACTACTGAGCTCACGCACCTCAGCTAGAGCCCGCGTGCCACAACTACAGAGCCCACGCGCCCTGGAGCCTGCACGCCACAACTAGAGAGAGAAAACCCACACACCACAACTAGAGAGAAGCCCGCGCGCCGCACTGAAGAGCCTGCACGCCGCAACTAAGACCTGACACAGCAGAAAATAAATAAAAAATAATAATAAATCGTTTTTAAAAAATAAGGAAATTCTGACATATGCAATAACATGGGTGAACCTTGAGGACATTGTGCTCAGTGAAATAAGCCAAACACAAAAGGACAAATACCACGTCCTTCCACAAATACCATATTTAGGGTCCCTCCCTAGCGTAGTCAGATTCATAGAGACAGACAAGAGAATGGTGGCTGCCAGGGGCTGGGGGAGCGGGAGATGGGGAGTTAGTGTTTATTGTATTATTTATTTCAGTTTTGCAGGATGAGAAGAGTTCTGGAGATGGGTGGTGGTGATGGTCGCACAACAAACTGAACGTACTCAATACCACTGAACTGCACACTTCGCAGTGATTGCGGTGGTAGATTTTATGTGATGTGTCTTTTACCACAAAAATAAATAAATGGCTGGAGAAATGGAGGCTATTGAATTTTAAACCATTTGAATATATAGCTGATAAACTGATAAACATTTTTAGCCGACTTTTATTTTTTAAAGCAGTTTTAGATTCCCTGCAAAATTGAGAGGAAGGTGCAAAGGCTTCTCATCTCCCTGCTGCCCCGACACAGGCAGAGCCTCCCGCATTATCCACATCCCCGCCAGATGGTGCGCTGGTTACAACTGATGGGCCTGTGTTGACACATCATAATCACCAAAAGTTCACAGTCTACGTTGTCTCTCTCTTGGTGTGGTACATTCTATGCATTTGAACAAATGTATATAATGATGTGTATCCACCATTACAAGGACACGAATTCACCATTTTTATAAATTCAAAAACAATTTCAGTAAGATAAAATCATCGTAATAGTAACTGAGATATGAGCTGATGAGGTTGATGTGTATTTGTCTTTGTTTCAGGTGACCATGGAGAGTGCTAAAGGTGCCGAGCAGCATGCGCCCGAGCAGAGTGGCCCAGCCGAGGGGCCAGCCCAGAGCATGGCTCCGCAAGGGCCCCAGGAAGACCAGCGGCAGCTCCTCTATCATGAGGAAACTATTGATCTCGGTGGAGACGAGTTTGGGTCAGAAGACTCGAATAACTTAGTGGACAAGCTCGACGAGCCCATGATGGAGAGCGTCCTCATCTCTGATTCCCCAAACAACAGCGAGGATGGCGCGGGGGACCTGGGTTGTTTGCAGGATGTCGTGGAGACTGTAGAAGGCGGCACAGATCACAGACGGGAAAGCGTCGTAGATGAAGAAGCGCTGGACGCTCTGAGTGATGATGGTGAAAGTGAGGGACAGGACACACCTAAAGACGTCTCGGACATGACCCCCGACAGCAGAGCATCGTTGAAGGAAGACCCAGAGCAAGAGGAGGTGAAAGACCTGCCCACCTTTGAGCACGAGGGTGCAGAGGACTTGGGCCCAGGGGACATGAGGGTGCCCGCAGCGGGGCCGGCATCAGGACTGTCCCCCCGGCAGCCGGCCCCCAAAGACGAGCCGGTGCCCATGTGCACCATCTTCAGCCAGCCGCCGCCCGCCGGCTCCCAGCCCCGGGTCCTGCGCGACGGCTTCGAGTCCCAGATGGTGAAATCGCCTAGTTTCAGCGGCGTGAGCGAAGCGGCCGCCAGGACCCCTCCTCAGGTGGTCCAGCCGAGCCCTAGCCTGAGCAAATTTTTTGGCGATACAACCAGCACTAACTCCTTGGCCTCGGACTTCTTTGATTCCTTCACAACCTCCACCTTCATCTCTGTCAGTAATCCCAACGCCAGCCCCTCGATTCCTGAAAGCTTGTCTTCACTCGCCGCTACCCCAGTGGGGGAAGACTCCCTGGGTTCTGCTGACCCTTCTTACTCCCCAGGGACGGAAAGATCAGAGTCAGGTGTTTCCACAGCTTCTCTGGAAATTCCTCAGTCTCCAAAACCGTTTTCACAGATCCAGGCTGTGTTTGCCGGGAGCGAGGACCCCTTTGCCACCGCCCTGAGCATGAGCGAGATGGACCGGAGAAACGACGCCTGGATTCCCGGGGAGGCGACCAGGAACGTGCTGATTTCAGTCACCACCCAGCAGTGCAGCACGGTGTTCGTGGGCAAGGAGGACCTCACCATGCCGGGCCTCAAGTTCGACAACATCCAGGTGAGAGCACAGGGGCTTTAGAGCGAACGTGGGCTGCTGGATGCTTCTCAGCAGAACTGGTGATTCTGTGTCCACAGCTCATTGCTTTTCATCTGTTTGTGTTTCATGTATATCCATGTGTAAAAAACCTTTCAAGGATTGAAAAACCCTTATTTTTCAGCAGTTCCAAAGATTCTGATTGCGGGAATCTTTATGATGTCACTAGGTAGTTTGGAACCCTGCTGATTTCTCTGATATAATGTGGTTTAGGTACTAATCAGAGTCTTAGAAATAAGTACTAACAAGGTATTTGCATCACAGTTCTCCGAAGTAGTTCTGAACTTTGCGAGATCAGTTTATTTATGACATTTGAGCTCTAGTAAATGATAAATCCCCGTTCCTCTTTTTAGATATGGAAAACTATATCTGCAGTACATATAATGTGCTTGATGTAGAAAGAGTTCTTATAGATTCGGTAAAAAAAAAAAATACGAATGGCCCCTCAAAATAATAAATCATAAAAATATATAAATATTACATACAGTAAATAGCAATATTAAAAAGTTCAATCTTACCAGTAATCAAAGGTGATAAAGTTATTTTCATTTTCTGTTGTCTAAGTTATTTATAATTATTCCATGTTTGTTAGAATGTGAGAAAATAGCCTGCTTAAGCAGCCCTGGTGGGACTGATCATTTGGTACAAACTTTCTTAAGTAAAGTTGTAAAACGCACGTCCAAACACGCATATCCTTTGACCCAGAAATCCCACCCTTAGGAATTATTTGTAAGGAAATAATCTCACTGATGTACAAATACCCAGCTTTTGGGCTGCCCATCAGAGTGAGGTTTATAATTGCAAAGAACCTGAAACCATCTGAAAGTCCATTATCAAAAGGCTGGCTGAATACATTTGACACATCTTGTTTTTTCAGTGGAATGTTTACGTAGGTATTAAAAATGATGTTATATTGAAATAAATATTTTTTTCGTGAAAAAAAGAAAAAATAAAAATGATGTTATAGCAAAATACTTAATGAGGTTCGTATTTTATGAGATGGCATGTAGCTTGCCTTACATGATAATGTTTTTGTAGGTATGTGTGTACATCCACGTGAGGTTAGCTCAGTTGCATGTCAGGTGTAGTTTGTCCCGCCCGGGTTGCAGGTGGGATCAGCAGTGTCTGTGCCACATGAGGTCCTGCATGGGTCTCTCCTCTGGGAACTGAAGGAGGACCCTGCGGTCCTCAGCAGGCCCTCCCGGGGGAAGGAGCCCCCCTTCCCACACACTCGGCAGGGTCAGAAAGCCCGGTGCAGGCAGTGGAGCCCTGAGCCCCGTGAGGCCGAATCCCATAAGAAGCAGAGTGGCTGCTGGAGAAGTGAGGCCAGTTGGCTGTTTTTCTCAGTAACTGAAGTGAAAGCCTGCAGGTTCCAGATATTTTGCACGTCCGTCTCTACAGCATATTTGTTCACTAAGCGCATCTTCCTCGTGGGCTTGCTGACCACCAGGCACTGTCCTCAGCCCCCTTCTCCACCCTCTCAAGCAGAATGTACTGAACATGAATTTACCTTCACAGGGTCTTTTCAGTGAATCACAGCTATGGACTCTGATTTCAGGGATATTTGATGTTCAGGATTTGATGACTTAACCCAGTGGTTCCGCACAGGGTGCTGAGGCCCAGGGCTCCTAGGGTGCATTTAGAACCATGTAGAGGTATGTCACTGTGGTCGCCTAAAGGGCTGGGCTGAGCACATGAGCTTTCATGGACAGGGCTGGGGATGCTGAATGCCCCGGGGTGGCTGGGTCGTCTCCTGCAGTGAAGCATGTTGGTCGTTCTTGAGTTAGGAACACAAAGTGCTGATGTTCGTTCCTAGTTTAACCCAGATTGAATCAGGCATGGAGGCCCTTTCTACCAGTGAAAAGCACGGGTTCTGTGATAGCTCCTCTGCAGCTTTGAAGCTTCCAGGTGGCCACTGTGAAATAAGCAGGGCATTGGGTGATCAGCCAGGGTCGGGGCGCCCACTGCATGGGCAGGACCCACACTAGCGGCCAGCCAGGAGACAGCGTGTTTCCTTTCTGCTTCCTTTAAATCTGAAGGCAATGTCTTCCGTACCTCTTGCAATTCACAGTGATTGTTTTGGAAACCTCATGGTAAACTGAAATATGAATTGAGAATAGTTCCTAAAATGTCTTTGACTTTCCCATAGAACAAATGTGCTGGTTGTTTCTTCACCTGTGTCTCTTCAGTTGTATACTATCCTTCAAATAACTTTTCATTCCCAGGATAGAAAAGAAAAACTGTGTGGTTTACCTTGGAGATGCTGTGTTTATTTGCCAGAGGACTTAAGATCGGGGTAGAACACATCTATTAACTCACTGTGCACACCAAGCTTGTAAGAGGTCAACCAAGCATTTGTTGGATTTACCTGTTCACAAGTTTCTCCCTATGCCACTGTAACTGTTGCAGCATTGTTCTAAGTCAGCTTTCTGAAACACCTCGAAATTTTTCCAAATTGCTCACCTGTTGGTGCCTAATTAAAAATTCCTTCCTATGGGATAAAATTTTGGGGGAAAATTGTTAAATTGTTTCCTTATGAAGTGACTTCTATAGCAGTCTGAGTTAAGTTAGAGGCCATGAAGGTGAGCATGTAACACTTCATCCAACCATATAGCATCAAAAGAGGAATGTCGGCATTTTTAACTAATTAGAGTCTTAGATGGCCTGTGTTCTTAAAGAGATAAATGGAAAGTTTGTGGGGAAATGATCGTTCAGAAATTTTCAGAACCAGTGAAGAATGGAAGTTGGAGAATATTTGTATGAAGCTTGTTCAGTAAGGAGAGAGAGAGGGGGAGTAAAGGAGGGAGAGGGAGAGAGACAGAAGAGATAAGTAAACTAGAAGCAGCAGAATGTCAGTGGTAAAGGTAGTAAGATCGTGAAGGGAAGATAGTAGGGTGGGAACTCAGAATGCTGTGGCCTTGCTGGTGGATCTGGAAACCCAACGTCCAGACTTGAGACTGGGCCTTTCCACCACCCTGTCTGATTCTGCCCCCTGATTCTTTCCTTCCCCTCGCTCTTCCTACAATTTGGATTTGACGGGAATCCCATCAGGGAAGCCCACAGTTTGTGAAAACCCCTTTCCTGGGCCATGCTAAGTCCCTGTGTTGGAAACCTACGGATGGCCGAAGACGTACCTGTTCCTGCAGGTCTGCTAGCTACGAATTCTCTCCTCTTTAAGTCTGAAGAAATTTCATCTTCACTCTCAAAGCTCTTTTTGCTGGAAATGCAGTGTGTTTACAACACGTAGACTTGGAGGTTGACTCAGCTTTATTCCTTTCAGCACTTTGAAGGTGTCCTTCCATATCTTCCAGTTGGTATTGTTGCTGATTGAAGTCTGTAGTAATTTTTATCTTTGCTCTTCTGTACCTAGTGTATATGTTTTCCTCTGGTTGGTTTTAAGATTTTATCACTGGTTTTCAGCAGTTTGATTCTGATGTGCCTTCCCATGGTTTTCTTTTATGTTTATCTTGCTTAGGTTTCATTCACCCTGTTGGATTTGTGGCTCTATTATTTTCATCAATTTTGGAACATTTTTGGTCATTACTTCTTCAGTTAGCTCTTCTGTTTTTCACTCTCTCCTCTGCTTCTGGGAACTCCAGTTTCACATATTACTTGATATTACTAATGAGGTCATTAAAGATCTGTTTCTGTTTTTGTTTTCAATCATTTTTCTCTTTGTACTTAAGTTTGGGGTTCTGTCATTCTGTCCTTCAGTTTGTTCATCTTTCCTTCTGCACTTTGTAGCTTGCCGCTGATGCTAGTCAGTAAATTTTTCGTATTTTTTGTCTCTATAATTTCCTTTTAGTTCCTTTCTATATATTTTTCTCTCCTCATTCTGTTCAAGTTTTACTTTAGATCTTTGAGCACATTTATAATAGCTGTTGCGCAGTTCTATTCTGAAAATCCCATCAGTGCTGTAATTTCAGAGTCTATTTGTATGTACTTTTTCTTTTGGTCGTGAGTCACGTGTGCCTGTGTTTTCACATGTCTAGTGATTTTTTATCAGAGGGTGGATATTGTGGATTTCCTAATGTTGAGTGTCTATATTTTGTCATCTTCCTTCAAAAAGACTTGTATTTTGTTCTAGCCAGCAGATTCATTTGATCCTTTTCAGGTTTATTTTTTAGCTTCTCAGGGTGAGTTTAGAGTAGCTTGCATACTTGGGTGACCTTTCTGACGCCTGTACCGAGTGCCTGTGTGTCCAAGAGCGCTCTGCAGTGGTCGCCTGGACTGGACATCTCAGCCCCAAGTGAGCTCACAGCCCTGTCCCGGCTCCCCGTCCACCCTTCGCACGCACCGTTTACCACTCAGTGGTACCCTCGCGGGCCCACGTGGCTTTCCAGCCCTGCTCTTTGTACGGTTCCATCCTGTCCGGTGCTCTGACTGCCAGGTCCGGCCAGCTGCCCTCCAGCTCCCAGCCAGTCCCCGCTCGGCGAGTTCCCTGTGCTCGGTGTGACCCCCGCACCACTGCGTCCACAGCTGCCTTTGGGTTCAAGAGCTCAACTCCTCGTCTACCCTTGTCTCAGATCACATCCTTCTCTGTGTCGGAAGACACTTGTTGTGTGTGTGTTTTCCATGTTCTAGTTGTTTACATTAGGACGATAAGCCCAGGCTGGGTCACTCTGTGACGGACAGAAGCAGAAGTTGCTGCCGCTGAGTTTGTTCGCCGCATTCACAGGTGGGCCTCGCTCCCCTTTCTTAGGTTCCTGATGTGAAGGATGCTGACCTGTGTTGAACGTGTGTGTGAGATAGGGAAGGTCTGGAGTGGCCAGTGCAAGCCGTTTTGCAGCCGTCCTAAAGCTGACGTATCAGTGAACAGCTTCCCTTCAATACTGATTTGTTCAGGGCCCCCTGCGAAAGGGGTTTAGATCTGTTTTTGTCTTTACAGCTTAGTTAAGATACAATTCGCATACCATGTAACTCACACACCTAATTTACAATTCAGTGGTGTTTAGATTGTTGACAGAGTTGTGCGGCCATCACCACATCAATTTGTGGAACGTTTTCATCACCCCAGCGGGAAGCCCCAGACCTCCTTGCTTTCAGTCCCCACCCCTTCACCCCACCCCAGCACCAGGCAACCACTGACCCGCTTTCCGTCTCTCTGGATTCTCCTCTCTGGACACTTGATACAGATGAATCACACGACACGTGGTCTGTCATGACTGGCTTCTCTCATGGAGACATGTTCAAGAGTCATCCGAATTGTAGCATGTGTCAGTGCACCACTCCTTTCTGTTGTCAGATACGGTTGACCTTGAACGACACGGTTTGAACTATGCTGGCCCACTGACTGCTGGGTTACATAGTAAACCTGCGGTTAACACTTTGAGGAACATCCCAGCTGTCTTCCAGAGCGGCTGCACCGTCTTACATTCCACCAGCGGCGTATGCGGGTTCCGATGTCTCCACAACCTCGAGTTTGGAGTTTGTTTTGTTTCTGTTTGTTGGGATGTCGTCTTTTTGGGCAGTTTCACTACCCCGGGACTAAGAGGACAGAGCCCTCCCGGGAGGAGCAGCCGTGTTTCTCATTGGTGCCCAGGCAGAGCGCCGGGCGAGGCTAGGCCACTGTCCTTTCAGCACCACTGCCTGTGACCGGGTGTGTCGTCAGGCTTCCTGACAGTAAAGCCCGAGGCCCGTGCTCTGGGAGTCAGCTGCTCTGGGTTTTGCTTTGACTTCATCCATTAAAACTTAGAAGGCACTGCTGAAGCCGTTCCCACGCTGCAGCGGGGGAGGCCCTCTGCAAGCTGAGATCCAGCACCTGACTCGTTCACGCTCAGTCTCCCCACGCTCCCCTGCCCTGGGTGCCCTCCCCTGAAGATTTGCTGATTGGAAGGGGTCCCTGGGGTTCTAGGTGGATCCCACCCCGCATAGCTCACAAGACATCCTGCGGAGGAAGCTTGCTCCCCTCGCTCCAGTGAGCATGAAGGGTCTGCGGCAAAGGCGCTGTGACCCCCGTGTCAGAACTGCCTTCAGCTGAGTGACACGGCGAGAGCCAGTCCATGTTAGGGCGTTTTGTCGCGTCTTTGGGCTTTCAGAGGTGAGATGATTGTCAGTTCTACATACGCTCGTGTCTCAGGAACTTCCCTGATAACTCAGGTGTTAATTAACAGAGAATTTTAAAGGGCAGGAGATTTTCGCAGTGTGGTCCTATTAACTGAGATGGTTGCAATGATGGAGAAGTTAGATGGGTCTTCCCTCGGCGGCATGAAGATGTGATTTTGCCCTTTCCTGGTTCGCAGTTCCTCTGGCTCAGATAAAGCTCCTTGTCTGATAGGAGTTACATTTGTGCAAAGCTTTATGGAGCCATATGGCTGAGTTCTTTTTATTCCGCCCTTTAATTATCCCTCCTAGATCAGTTAGCCACTTCTGTGGTTCTGGCATCTGAAGTATTTCACCTTACCCTCTGAAAGCAAAAAAATCATAGAACTGCAGCTTCTAGATCTCTGCCCCTGTGTAAGACGTGCGGCTTGGTCTCTGAGCACCTGGGCCTCCGTCCTGGCTCCTCCCAGGTTCCTCCTGGGTCACTTGGCCATGGATGATCCCTTTTCCCCTGGCCTCGCCCATCTGTCCACCTGTACGGTCACTCAGCCCAGGTGCAGGCGGGTCTAACCCGAGGCTTGGGCTGAGAGAGCCCCTGTGTGGAGGCTGGTGTGGGCCTTTCCGGAGCAGCCCGCTCCCCGAGCGGAGGGCCCGGCAGAGGGAGGGACCCCTGCTCTCCTTGGGCTCAGGAGAGACGCAGCCCTGGGCGGAAGGCAGTGCCCTGGGCCACCACTAACTACTCTAGCCAGGCCCTAGGGGCTCCCGGGGGCCCAGGCCGGCCGGCAGCTTGGCGGGATGCGGGCAGAGGGCGCTCAGGCCTGCCCGCCCCAGCCTGGGTCCCACTGTGCACGCCGCTTCTCCCAGGGGCGGTGTCGCTCACGCCCCCCGTGCCCCGCGCCTCCGGCCCCCCGCCTGGCTTGCTGTGCCCCTTACATAAGCCTGGTACAGGCGCTGGTGCTTCACTGCTTCCTCTCCAAAAGAAAGAGCCATTCTAAACTGCACATTTTATTAAAGATCGTGATACCTTAGCGTCTGGTTTATTGAAGTTTGACTCTGCTGTAACCACATTTTGACCTCCATACACCAATGGAGAAAAAGTAAATTTTGGTTATGGCTATGGGTTCTGATTAGCTGAGTTTAATTAACATTTTATTGTCCTGACCTGTTTTTCTTATATTCTTTCAAGGGAGATGCAGTTAAAGACTTAATGCTTCGCTTCCTGGGTGAAAAAGCTGCAGCAAAGAGACAGGTCTTAAACGCCAACTCGGTAGAACAGTCTTTTGTTGGATTGAAACAGCTCATTGTAAGTAACAATGTATTTGATTTTCTGTGTGTGTGTTTTTTTTTTGATAAGTCCTGCTTCCCTTCATAATATTTAACCTCCAGTTAATTACTTTGAGTATTTTATCCTAAGCCCTTGCACCTAAATAGTATTTTGTTGGATTAGGTAACCAGTCCTGTGCAGCAAAGAGCATCATGTTAACGTACTTGTTACTTTTTAAGTCCAATTTTTAAAAAGCATGATTTCAAATGATCAAATTACTTGAAGCAGTATATACTTTGATTAAATATGCTTCATCAAAAATAACTAGAGTGAAATAATTTTATGTTGATTTTCTTAAAATACTCTGTTTTCTCCACTTGGCATAGAAGGTTTATTATTAAATGAGTGGATTCCCCAGAAATGCGCACAAAAGCCTTTCTTTATTCATTAACAGGAGTGAGTGCAAACACCAGACAGAGACGTTGTTCTGAAATAGGAAACTCTGACTGCAGGCGTTTTAAGCTGGGCGGGGCAGATGCTTCTGGTGGCCTGTGAGCCACTGGAAACTGTCTGCCCCACAGCATCTTTTATGTTGTTACAAAAGCTTGTGTCCTCAAAAAGGTCAGTAAGAAACACTTGCTTAAAGAAAAGAGAGAGAGAGAGAGACCTAAGAAAAAGAAAAGAAGAAGAAAGAAACACTTGCTTAGGTGGTTTGCTGACATTTTCACGTTGAAACCAATTAAAGTTTAGTTTTTAGTAAATGTAAATCAAATGTTTCATTGAGTTTCTTTCACTGAAGTGATTCTAGACTTATTCCCATGAATGAGAAGCTTTGGGAAGGAAAGATGTGGAGATATTCTATTTTTAAAAGGGAGAGGGAACAGCAAACCTTTAAGTGTCTCTATGCATTATCGTTTGTTAATGAAGTTACAGGTCTTAGAAGGTAACTGTGTCCACGGCCGCATGAATCTGGTGGAATGAACATGTCTCCCTTGTGCAGTGGGCCACTGTTGTTCCCTTTACTTGGCCAGTGTCGTGAGCAGTCGGCTGTACCCAAAGTGTGACTTGTAACGATAAGCTTAGAGAAGACACACGGAGCCACACACAGTCAGTGTCATCAATTCTCAGGCCATCTTTTACCTCCTTTGATTATTCCTGCTGTTAATAAATGTATGCGGTGGTTTGATTGTTTTCCGTACATTGAAAATACTTGAGGCCAGTAGAAATTTTATTAACAGTCCTAACAAGGAGACCTGTTTAAGGTAGGAAATGTATTCATAAAAAGACGGTTACCTTGCCCTGGCATTTTAATTATGTCCTAAAATAATTGCTCTCGTCTTTAAGACTAGGGAAGAGTTTCTCAGTGTATTTTCCTAAGTAATGTCAGAGTATTCTAAGATTGTTAACTTACAGGGAAATGAATGCCACAGCCTCTGGAGAAAGACATTTTAATCACTTCAGTGGTGTCATTCATATGTGGCGTTAATGATTTCCTTTGAGTCGTGGGTGGGGAAGAGTTATGTACATACCATCAGTTACTTGAGTGATTTTTATTGGACTATTTTTCTCATCTTTTGGAAGTTGTGGAATGCCTATGTTCAGTTTCTCAAATAGAGTCTATATCTTACTTCCTTGTTTTAAAAAAGTCATATTTATTTAAGCTTAGATCTTTTTCCCATATCTAAATACCTTCATTATCAGAGTTCTACATGTCATATACAATAATTATGAGATTTTTAAGATTTTCTCCACAGCACTTAAAGATTAACATGATATATTTAAATTCTAATTTTAAAAACAATTTTTTTACCAAAACATTTCTGACATCTACTATTGAAAATGGAGGAGGACCACCAAGAATGGGAACTAGAGGTGGAAAACAATGAGATAGAAATAGCACAAGACACTCTGGAGAAATCGTAATTATCATCAAGCAGCAGGCGGCCTATAATCACAGGCCCCGGCTCGCGCGGGTTGCGGAGCTGAGGTCCCGCTGTCCTGAAGGAAGGGGGCGCTGGGCGTTAGAGCCAATGCTGTGTGGTCGCCCTGGCCTGTCCTTGGGTCTCCTTCATCCCCTCCTGCACACCTGCTACCTGGCTCGCCCATCAGGCCACCCAGAGCTGTGCAGGGAGATGGAGAGGAGGGGGCAGAGGCCAGCCCTGTCTCCTCCAGCCTTTTTCCAGGAACGGAGAGGGACCCTGACCCTGCCGGCTCTACCTCACCTCTCAGGCAAGTCCGGGGAGCGAAAGAGCATCCGAAAGCTGAAGGCAGTGCTCACCCTTTCGATGCTGGAGAAGTAACCCCCGCCTCCCTGCATCCAGCGCACATATCTGTGCATACGCGCACACGCACGTACATGTATGCACACGCATGCACACGCGCGCACGCTTGATGTGTGGAATAGAGGCGGTGTCCACCCTGCGTGCTCACTGGAAACTCACACAAGGACAAGAGCTGGAAAGAGTGAAAGTGAAGCAGGAGCCGCTTGCCCGCCACAGCAGCAGGACGGAGGCCAGGGGCGGTCCCCACACCGAGGGGCCATGCAGGATTGGCACGGGGGACTTGTGTGGGAAGAGCCGCGTGGCAGGTTATTGGGGAAAGAAGGGAATGAACTGATGGATGAAGGGCATGGCATTAACTGGATGTTCAAGTGGGAAAATAAAAAGACCGCTGCTTCTAAGCACACCCAGAAGGGAATTCCAAGTGAAGTAATTTCAAAAAATAGAAGAGACTCAGGCCAGAGAGGCACTTCTTAACAAGACACAAAAAACTAAACCTTCCAGGAAATATCGATAACCTGACTACTTTGAAATTTAAAACTGTGTTTAACAAAAACACCATAAACAGCATTAAAAAATGAGAGAAAATATTTGAAATACACATCAAGACCTTCGTCTAATTTATAAGAAACAGATACAGCCCGATAGAAAAACAGGCGAAAGATATGAAGATGCAGTTCATGGAAACCATACAGCCAATAAGCATGGAAAAAATGCTCAGCCTCCCTGGGACCACAGAAATCTCAGTGAAACAAGAGTGTCCTGCGTGTGAACCCCATCGTGTTGGTAGCACCAGATGTCAGCAGGGGTGCGTGTGCGGGGCGCCTGAACCGGAAGGGCTGCCTTGCAGAGCAGTTGAGCAGCAGCTGGTACAATACGTGGCTTGTGCCGCTTTTAATCACATACTTTAGGAAGACTCTGTATATGTTCATGAAGATATATTCAGGAATGTGCTGTATGATTTGTATTGGCCAAAAACTTTATTAAAAACCTTAATATCCGGAGCAGTTGAAATACGTGCACAAGAGCCACGTTCATCAGTATGGATAAATCTCCAGACCGTGCTGAGCAAGAGAAACGAAGTGCGAAGGCTGCCTGTGATGCCCCGGCTCGTGTTCGTGCTTGAAAACGAGCTGATAATCCCTCAGCCTCAACTCTGAGACCAGGAGAGCCCTGGAAACCTAGAACTAGTTTGGCCGCAAAATCTGCCTTGGCCAGGTTCACCCGGTGCCAGCCCTGGACGTTCTCCGCATCTGTCTTCCGGCCCTTCCTGCCCTGCCCCTGCTCTCCTGCTTCCCCGTTGGAGAGGGGGCACTGGGAGCTGGAGGGGTGCGGCGAGCTCCTTCCTGGCGGCAGTCCCACGGCCACAGCTCTCCTGCAGCCGTCACCTCTGGCCTGTGCTTGCTTCTGTCGCCCGGCCCTGACTGCATCGCATGCCCCTGCGAGGTGCCCCTGGCCTGGGCCGCACTCCTGCAGCAGCCCCTTCACCCAGCGCTCCTGGAACTCCCGGGAACAGTCAGTAGCCCCTGATTGCTGCCAGGCCTCTGGTGGACAAGACAGTTCGTGTTGATCCCACTCTGCGGGAACAAAAATATTCCTGTACCTGGAAGTGTCTTCGAAGTACACAGTAAACTTGTAGTTAAGCCACGTACATATTCTGTCAGGAAGGATGTTATTTGGGAATCATAAATTGTAAATGGTCAGCTTTTCTAACAACTTCTTCTTTATGTTCTTTCCCTTTTTTTGTTTCTTTTTTTCTTTTTAAATTACGATACAAAGAAATTCATTTCATCTCTCTGTTTCCTCTGCCACCATGTCTGACTCTCAAACCAGAAGATAATCAGATTTAACATAGAGATTAGAGGAGCTGTCTGGTCACCTCTGGGCCTGAGCCGCAGTGGCCAGAGCGGAGCAGGATGAGTCCTCAAACAGGCTGCCGGCAGGCGGGCAGGAGGCACCCAGGCTCCCTGCACGCGCTGTTCTTTGTTATTGTCCTGGGGAAGTAGGTCGTTCTGACCTTGGCTGCTGGGTTAGTGTAAGCGTGCTTAGAAATGACTACATGTCACTTACCGGCCAGTGATATTAACCAGAAAAGGGCTCAGCCGAAGAAAGGCCCGTGCCGTCAAGAGTGGCAGGTATCGGCGTGAGTCTTCCTTGGCAGTTGTCCCTCAGTGTCGTGGGGTTTGGTTCCAGGACCCCCGCGGATACGAGACCCGTGATGCTCACATCTCCTGTATGAAAGGGCGTAGTATTGGCATGTAACCCGCCCACATCCCCTGTGTCCCTGACATCATCTCTAGGTCACTGACAACACCTAATACAATCTAAGTGCCACGTGACTCTTTGCTGGTGCAAGGCAAGTCCAGGTTTTGCTTTTTTGAACTTTCAGGAATTTTTTGTGAATATTTTCAGTCTGAGGTTGGTAGAGTCCTTGAATGCGGAACCTGTGTATATGGGGGGAAGGAAGGGGGAGTGGGAGTGACTGTCCTCAGTCGTCAGTGGGAAGAAGCTAACAGGAGCGTAAACAGGTCTGCTTTCTATTCTTAGGAAAGAAGCCACTTTTGAAAAGACTTACATTTACTAAAAAAATGAATAAGATGGTAGGTTTTGGCTTCATTTTTAATGGTGATCTGGTTTGAAATATAGAAAGCATATCTTAGTGTAAGAATCCTAGCAAGAGCCGAAGGCTTTTTATGTGATACATTTTACTATTTTAATCATTTATGGAGCACTTCATATTTGCAAAGTACTGCAAATAAT